CCCCCCCCCCCCCTTCCCCTTCCCTCCCTCCAGGCGCTGTCTGGCGCCGAGGGTCCCGCCCCCACCCGCTCTCGCTCCTCCGCCTCCGCCCCCGCCCCCGCCCCCGAGGAGGTCGCCTGGCGGCACTTTCCTGGACCTGTCCTCGACCTGTCCGAGACCCTTCCTCCGCCCTTCCTAGGCGCTGACGGGCGGCCGCTTCCGCGCGCGCTGGGCGGACGGCACTGCGAGCGACGTGGCGCCGGGGCGGCGAGTGCGCGTCTACTGGCCCGAGGAGCGGCGGTGGTACGTCGGCGAGGCGCGCGAGATCCCGCCGAGATGCAGCCGAGATGCAGCCGAGAGGCAGCCGAGATGCAGCCGAGATGCAACCAAGATGTAGTCGAGATGTAGCCGAGAGGCAGGCAAGATGTGGTCGAGATGTAGTCATCGAGCGCTGGTTCGTTGACCGGGTGAGTTTGGGCTGGGCCGTGGTGTGCCGCGTCTCTTCACGCCTCTAGCTGTGAGCAGGTGCGCGAGGTGGACGGCGAGAGCGGCGAGAGCACCGTCTTGTACACGGACGGCGACGAGCGGCAGCACTTCCTCGACGAGGAGGCATTCCAGGTCGAGTCTGAAGTCGTGCTCGCGCCCTTCTTCTCGTCAGTCCATCGACTGAAGAGCGCCGCCTTGTAGGTCGAGGCGGAGGCGCCGGCGGAGGCGGCACCGGCGGCGCAGCCCTCTCCGCAGCAGGCAGAGGCGGAGGCTGAGGCGGCTGAGGCTGAGGCGACAGAGGTGGCCGAGGCGGAGGAGGAGGCGGTGGAGGAGGCGGTGGAGGAGGCGGCCAACGACGAGACGGGCGAAGTCTTCAAGAAGAAGGAGCAGGCGGCGGCGGAGGAGGAGGAGGAGGCGGAGGCGGAGGGCCCCGGCACGCCTCCCGGCACGCCGCTGCCGCCGGAGGCGGAGGCGGAGGCGGAGGCGGAGGCGGAGGCGGAGGCTGAGGCGGCGGAGGGGGCGTGAGAGGGGAGGGCAGAAGAGGCGCAGTGCGGGTAGGCGAGACCGGAGAGGCAGGTTGCTTGAGCGAGGCCGCCGAAACCGCTACCCTAGCCGCTACCTACGCGGAGCCGGCGGCTGTACGTGCGAGGCGGGCCGGGGTACCAAAGCGGTGCGGCAACGGCGCATCGCTCGTACAGACCCATTTTTTCTCTGTGTATTTTTGCATAACGCTTAACGGTTTTTTCGGCCACCTCCGGCTCCGCTCTCCGCTGCCGCGCTGCGCGCTGCTGCCGCCTCCGCGCTCATCACCTCCGCCCACGCGCCACTCAGACTCTAAGTTCTAAAAAATTCTGCCCTTTTCGTAGAATAAAAAAATCAGCTCAAATTCGTGGAAGTCCGAGACTGGAGGCCAACTCGGACCGAGATGCATCCGACCGACCCCCCTCGTGCGTTCTCCACAACCAGCCCCAGCGTCTTGGCTCACCATTCTTCAGCGACGAGCGGTCCATGGGCCCGATAGTTGCCCCCTTCCGGCGCCGCCGATCGGGTACCATCGTACCTCCCAGGTCGCTGCTTAGCCCGACATCAGTGCACGACATGCTGGCCGAGACGGAGGAGGATTCTGACGCCCGACTCTTGCGCCTCCTTGAGGCTCTGGTGAAGAAGGAAGAGGCCGAGCAAATCGCCCGCGACAACGAGCTGCTGGCGTGGGGCAGAGGCGAAGCATGGGTGCCATGCGAGGCGGAGCCAGTCGACTGGCCCGACCCACCACCGTACGAGGATCTCGGCATCTTCACTCTGGAGTGAGTGGTAGAGCTCTCGCTGCGGCGCGCTGCGAAGGCGAGCGCGCCGACGTCGTCCCTATTTCTCGCGGTCTCTCCCCTGAGGAGAAGCCGTCGAGCCGTCAAGTAGTGTCGAACGTGAGGGTGCAGCCTAGACGCGTGCCCCGTGCCATCGACTCTGTGCGCGACGCCTGATTTCTTGTACACTGTTATTATGGCGGGGTCGTCCGGTGTCCGCGCAACCCATTACGTGCAGATTAATCAGAGATTTACGTGAGTGAAGAACCACGCGAGAGACACCGAGACGCTGGCGTTTTGTCTTTTTTGAGACATGCTCTTGCTCAATCCTCAAACGGAAAACGGTCACGAACTTGGATCTTGTGGGGTGACGACCGGGGTTCCGGGTACCGGGCTCCGGGGGCGCCCCGCGAGAGACTCTCTAACTCTATCTCTCAGTCTGCACGTGCGTAGCCTGTGTATGTGCCAGGCGGGCGGCGAGACAGCAGTGAGTCTCGGACCCCAGGAGGAACCTCCCAATAAAACATGGTACTGGGCTCTACAGAGCCCACGCTGGGTTCGATCATGGCAGGGCGGGCCAGGACGTCGCGCCGACAGCCAGGAGCGAGCGACGCACAGACCCGTCCAAGCACTCCCTTCGCCGCTGCACTCAGCCCTCTCCAAGTGTGTGCGTCTGGCCGTCTGCCTGGGCGCCGCCGCGCCCGAGGGCACGCGACGGCGAGAGGGGCCTCGCTCACGTCGCGCGCAGGTCGATGAAGGTGAGCACCTCGGCGTCCGACGCGGCGGCGAGCCCGCCGTGCAGCGGCGACACCTGAACAAGAAAGGCGGCGGCTAAAACCAGAAAGACGAGGCGGCGGCGAGTCGCAGCGGCGAGACGTGGAACGAGTTGATCGGCTGCTCGAGCGCGACGAGCACCTGCACGTCACGACTCCGGTCATTCGTCGGTGTATGGAGCAGCCGATCGGCTGTTCGAGAAGAGCCTGCGACGCGGTGCCCTCCTCGGCGCGCGCGACGAGAGTGCCGTCCGAGGAGCAGGAGAGGAGGTCGCCGAGGGCGAGCTGCGCGTACGCGACGCACCAAACGTCTCCGCCGTGCGCCTAGTCTCGGACGATCTCGGACGATCTCGCGTGGTCCCGCCCTCGCTCCACCACACGGCTCCTCCGAGCTCCCCGAGGTAGGAGGCGCTGCATCTCGACCGCATCTCTGCCGCATCTCGGTCACATCTCTGCCGCATCTCTGCCGCATCTCTGCCGCATCTCGGCCGCATCTCTGCTGCATCTCTCCCCAAGGTCGGAGGCGCGTCCGCCGCCCAGCCGGAGGTCCCAGCCGTAGAGGGCGCCGGAGCTGGCGCCGGCGGCGACCCGGTGAGGGTGCTGCGGGTGGCGACTGGCCGCCTACAAGGAGAGGGGGGGGGTACAGGCAGGCGGTCGCCTGGCCGGTCTCTGCTGCGACAAGGCCACGGGTGCTCGAGACGCCGGCAGGAGGAGGTGCCGCGTCGGCGCCGATCTCGGGGTGGTCTCGGGTGATCTCGGGCGATCTCGGGGTGATCTCGGGGTGATCTCGGGGTGATCTCGGGGTGATCTCGGGGTGATCTCGGGAGGGCAATGCTTTCTTTGGGCTTGGGATATCTCGGCTATACTCGGCTGCATCTCGGCTGCATCTCGGCAATACTCGGGTACATCTCGGCAATACTCGGCTATGTCTCGGCAGGGCAAGTGCTTCTTTGGTCGTGGACGTGGGGGGACAGAGGTGGCCTCTGGTGGCGGCAGGAGGAGACAAGGCGGGTGGTGGCCTGCAGCTGCGGCGAGCAGCTCATCGGAGTGCCGAAGGAAGGGAGGAGCCTGACAGCGAGGTGCGGTGCGATGACACGGCGTGATGGCCGGAGTGAGTCACACACACACACACACACACACACACACACACACACACACACACACACACACACACACAGAGAGAGAGAAAGAGAGAGAGAGAGAGAGAGTCCCACAGTGTCAGCAGGGGAGCAGCCTGCTTGTTGGCCGCCGCAGGTCTCGCTTGTCCCAGAGCGAGACGCACGCGCCCGCCGTCAGCACCTCGTTCGGCGAGATGCAGCCGAGATGCAGCCGAGATGCAGCCGAGACACAGCCGAGATCTGCCGAGATGCACCTCGTTCGGCGAGCACCACTCGGCGCTAAACAGACAGCTCTCCTCTGTCACGATCGCCGCCGCCATGGCGCCTCCCTCGGCGGCGTGGAGCGAGAGGAGGCCGCCCTCGCCGCAGCTTGCCAGCTGGAGCCCGTCCGGCGACGCGTCCACACTCAGCAAAGCGCCGCCGCCGCCGCCGCCGTCGCTCCACGCAGGCGTCAGCCGCAGGGCCGGGCCGGCGGCGGCGTCGGACGGCGGCGCGGCGGCGTCCAGCGCCGCCGAGAAGCACGAGAGGGAGCCGTCGCTGCCCGCAGCGCATACCACCGGAGGCGCCACGCCGCCGCCGCCGGCGGCGGTGAGGCCGAGGACGGAGGCGGCGTGGTGCGCCGTCGCGAGCAGGCGGGCTGCTGGCGCCTCGGAGGCGGCGGCGGCGGCGTCGTCATCCATCTCCACGTCCTCCGGCTGCAGCGCCACCGCCCACAGCTGGACGCAGTTGCTCGGCTCGTCCCACGTGCCGGTGGCGACAATGCCAGCGCCGGCGGAGCACTCGGGCAGCCAGCGGACGCACGACTGCTTGCGGCCGAGTGAGCGCGTCTGCTTGATGCTCGAGCGCACGGGCTCGTCGATGTAGCACTCCTCGTCGTCGAGACGGAGCATTGTCGTTGAGCGGGAAGCGGCGAGTACCCGGAGCCGCAAAAAAAGAATTTTAGGCGGGTGATATCCTTTGGCCGCGTTGGGTAGCGAGGATTGGTGTGACGCGATCCACGCAGGCGTGTTTTCTGGCGGCCGACCGTCAGTGCACGGAGTTGCCCCTTCTCCGACTGCCCCGCTAGTTCACGAGTTTCGCGGGAGTGACCCCATGGCCATGCGTCAAACCCGAGACCTAGCGCGGGTGGGTTGGAGGGGGCTCGCTGCAAGGAAGGGCGGTGTAAGAGGCCGATCCCCGCAGTCCGCCCCGTTCCTCCCCATCGGGCCGCGTGAGCGGCCTCGCCTCGCAGATTCGTTTTCGCGCCTGGGTCAGGCGCGCGGGGCATCCCCCGGGTCGCTCGACCAGCGATCCGAGGAGTTGGCCGCTATGAGAGGGAAAGAGCGGGGCCCCTCGACGCCTCTGTCCGGCCCTCCGAGGTGGCATGAAGGTTGCAGCGAGAAGCGGCGAGAGACTCTGCGGAGAGAGATAGGAAGAGGCAGACTCCCTAGGGTGGGCGACGGCTAGCGCATCACACACCTCTCCTTAAAATCCCTGTGTGGTGGCGGCGTGCCGTCCTCCCATCGCTCCCTTGGCTTGTCTGTTTTCTTTCTTTCTTTTTTCTTTTCTTTCTGCTGCTACACCGACGCGCAATCCAACGTCAGCCCCCACAAGCGCTCGCGACACCACCAGAGGTACAACTTCTCGTTGTACGTCACGAGAGAGAGCGCCACCGACCACACCACGGAGAGCACGGCGATGATGGCAACGTAGCCGCTCTGCGACCGGTGCGAGAGGGCGGCCGCGGTGGGGACAGGCCGGCGGGCGATGAAGAGGAGCTTCGATAGGTCGGTGTGGCCCTCGAGGATGCGGGCGAGCAGCATGGGCACGACGATGAAGGGGCGACAGGGGAGGAAGAAGGCGACGGAGAGGAAGTTGAGCTTCAACTCGAGCAGCTCGTCGAGCGCGACGAAGGGCCGGAGGACAGCCTGCCGCAGGGCGTCGTGCACCATCTCCTCCACCTCCTGATTGCCCTGCCCCTGGCTCTCGAGCGCGTCGCCCGAATGCCTCTTCACCTGCACGTTGCGGTACGGCCAGCCGCGGAACGTGAAACGCAGGCAGCCGATGCTGTCACAGTCGTACACAAAGATCGTCGCGAGGAAGCGCGAGACAAAGTCGCCGATGGCATCGCAGCACGAGCACAGCAGCGTCGTCTCGCGCATGAGCACGTCCAGCCGGTTGGCGATGAATGGGACGATCGCCGTCATGAGGATCTCGATGAACGGGTAGACAACAAAGGGGCCAGTCAGTGAATTCTCAAAGACTCGTTCGCGCTTGGCCTGCGGCAGCCGCTTCTCGAGGCAGAAGAGCGACGCGGGACCGACGAGCGCGTATGACCAGTGGCTTGCGCAGCGCTGCAGCAGCACATCGTCGGGCTCGGACGAGGGCGGGTCCCACTGCGGGACAAAGGTGAATGCAAGGATGGCAAAGGCGCCAATCTTGCCAAACGACTCGAGCGCAACGTGCGCCGTCACTGCTGCGTGGTCGTGGTCGAGCCGCCACTCGTGGTTCTGCACCGAGGCCACCCAGCCGCCGATGGCATGGGAGACCGCCTTGAGTAGCTCGAAGGTGAGGGCCATCGTGATGTCCGACCCAACCTGGCAGACAAAGCCGAACAATCCGTGCTTGTGCATCGGATGGTCGCAGTCGAGGTGGACACAATCGCCCCAAACGAAGGCCAGCCACGCATTAAATTGCACCTGTGCTAGCAGCACGCACGAAACGAGGGCAAGGAAGGCGAGATAGACAGGCACCGAGAGCAGGACGGTCCGAAGCTGCGATGTGCCGCACTCGCGGCGGTAGAGCGGGTTGGGCACACGCGTCGCAAAGAGGTCTGGCTCATGGTACCGATCGAGCACCTCGTCGCCGTCCTGCGCGACCCACGCGACGCGCAGAGACCACACCGCCAACGCCGCCTTGCCCGCCTCCCACAGCCAGCGGTCCCGCCTCGGCCGCCCATCGGGCGGCCCGACGCCCAACGCAAGCGCAACGCCAGAGAGGAGAAAGGCACCCCACATGTGCGGCACGAACCAGTGCGACCAGGCGAGCGCATAGGCTGAGTCGGGCCCGTAGGTGTCGCGCAGGAGCCGCTCAGTGATGCGCCCGCCCTTTGGGGACCAGATGCCGGTCGCAATCGCCAGCCGCTGCAACCGCGTGCCTGGCGAGGTCCAGCGCCACCATTGGCCGACGACGGCGGAGGGACCGAGCAGATCTAGGGTGGTGAGCCGCCGCTTGGACGCAAAGCTGCCGTGCAACGGCCACATCCACATGGCGTCGCAGCAGCCATCCTCAAGCGCTACCCGATGCGTGCAGGCGCATTTCCGGCTCAAGCGGGACTTCATGCTCAAGGTGACCCTTCCTAGACCCTTTCCCCTAGAGGAGACCAACCACCGGCTTAATGTGACGCGTCAATGCTCCAGGCGCTCAACGAGCTCGGCATCAAGGTCCTCACGCCCAAGGCGACCTTCTACCTGTGGGCCGACGTGAGCGAGCTACCGCCGCCCCTCAACAACGGCGTAATCTTTTTCGAGCATTGCATCCGATTCAAGGTGAGCGCCGCGCCTTGGGTCTCGGATTCGTGTCACCCGCACCCCGCTGACCTGCCTCCTTTTGTAAAAGGTGATCGTGGTGCCTGGCATCTTCTTTGACGTGCATCGTGCCGAGATTTCGGACTCGTCTCACCCACGCCTCGGCTGACCGGGCCTCGTTTGTGCAGGTCAACCCCTTCCACCGCCGCCGCTTCAACAAGTCGCCCTATATCAACCACCTGCGCATGTCCTTTGGGCCCGCGTGGCCAAACCTCAAGATGGCGGTGGCGGGGATGACCGAGCTCGTCGCCCTCGCCAAGAGGGGCGACCTTCCACCCCTCGAGTTCCGCGGCAGCACCGCCGCGCCCCTGCTGTCGCCCGAGCCAAAGGCCCGCCGCTAGCAAGCCGCTGCCTTCGCACGCGCCCCTCGACTCGATGTCCTTCAGGCGCGGCCGCGAAGGGGCTCTCGGCCGATGGGCGCGCCAGACACGCGGTTTCGACGCGGGACGCTCGGAATGTATGCGCCCGGAGCAAGAGAAGATCTTGCGCACATGTGTACAGACGAAGCACGCTTGTGCTGGGTGCTCGTTTTTTTTTGCTCTCGGGGGCGGTCGAGTACGAAACTAAGTGCAGGATATTTTTTGAGAGCGCCTTCGTTGTTAATAGTACAAAGTGGACGGTAGATTTTTTTTTGCGCCGCCCCAGCCGCAGGAAGCAGGGGAAGCGCATTCGGCGGGAAGCGCAGCCTGCGCACTGGTTCGCAACAGGCTCGTGTGTCTACATGCTCTTGCGTGCGCTCGCCCTAGTCGTCGGCGCCTCGGCCTCAGCAGAGATCAACTGCACCTTCGCGCCGATTGAGTGCCCCGGTGTGTCATGGGACCTCACGCCGCTCCAGCAGCTCACGCACTCCGCCGACCTTGAGGTCGCGGCTGCGGCTGGCGAGGTGCCGGACGAGCACTTTTGGCTGGGCGTGTGCCGGTCGCCAATCGAGGCGGGGCAGTGCGAGACACTGAGCAACATCTCCGACCCGGCAGGGCTGCAGGTTTGGCGGTCAGAGGCTGGCGGGGAGGAGTGCGCGCCGCTTGGATCGCTGTCGACAGCGGCGTGGAGCATGGCCTCGCCGGGCAACGAGGCGGAGGGGGTGCTTCTCTCCTTCTCGGGGGGCGCGGCGGGCCGCTCGATGGTCGTCCGCTTCGTCTGCGACAAGTCCATCCCAAAGGCGCGTGTCCTGCGATAGATAGACTCGACGGGCTCACCGGCGCGGGGTGGACGCAGGACAGATGCTGGCGGCACACATGGCGACACAGGGACACACGGACAAGACACCCCCTCGCCTCTCCCTGCAGCCTGCCGACCGCCGCCGCTCTTTTCTCCTCCGCCGCCCGCCTCGCCTACCGCCTCTCCCTCCCTGCCGCCTCCCACCCTCCCCCTCGCCTTCTGGCCTCTCCCCGCCCCGCCACCTCTCCACTCGCCACTCCCCTCCCTTCGCCATCACCGCTACCCTCACCGCAGCCTCCCTCACCGCCACCGCCCCTCACCGCAGCCTCCCTCACCGCCACCGCCCCTCACCGCAGCCTCCCTCACCGCCACCGCCCCTCACCGCAGCCTCCCTCACCGCCACCGCCCCTCACCGCAGCCTCCCTCACCGCCACCGCCCCCTCCCTACCTCCAAAGGCGGTCCTCACCGAAGCCACCGGCGGCAGCCTCAAGTACAACCTCACGGTCCGCGCCGCCGCCGCCTGCCCGGTCGGTCGCTGCACAGCACCGCAGCGCGATGGCGGGTCCGGGGCGGCCACCTTCTTCGGCGTGCTCCTCGGCGGCGCCGCGCTCTACCTGGTCGGCGGGATGGCGTACAACGTGCGCAGCGGCGTGGAGGGCATCGACCGCATCCCGCACTGGCACTTTTGGCAGCGGGTGCCTCAGCTGGCGGCGGACGGCGAGCTGCAGCCGAGATGCAGCCGAGAAGCAGCCGAGAGATGCGGCCGAGAGAGGCAGGCGTATTGTCTCTTATCTGCAGGTGCCTCCGACGCCTATCGCGGCGCGCTGCAGCTCGCGCGTTTCGGGCGCAACTATGCGCGCGCGTGGAGCGGCGGAGGTGGGGCGGTAGGGAGGTGCTGGGCCGCCCGTGCCCGGCGTCGCCTCACACCCAGCCGGCCTCGTGAGCAGGTAGCAGCAGACACGAGCCGCTCCGCGCGGCAGAGGCGACCGAGTGAGGCGCGGCCGAGGAGGAGGAGGAGGAGGAGGAGGAGCCGTCACCGATCGGCGACGAAACACTCCTCCGACGCGCCCGACTCTAGTCTGCGCCCGCTGTCGTCGCTCCTTCCGTCGTTGCCGTCTCCAGCGTAGCCCGTGAAGTTTGTTGTTTGCCCAGTGTGCCATTTGTCCGTGTCTCCCCTCTCTCCCTCTCCCTCTCCCTCTCCCTCTCCCTCTCCCCTCCTCTCTCCTCACCCCCCCCCCCCCCCCTTATAGCCACTTGGGCCTAGGCGCCTCCCCCTTCACCTCACCGTAGCTCTCACTCAGGCTGTCCCCCAGACCGCGAAAAAAACCACAGTTTGGTGCGATTAGTGCGTAATGGCGTAGAACGAGCACCCCCTTTGTGAATTTTGCCACATACCGGTCTGGCGCCAGTGTGCGCGCAGTGCTCGAACTTTACCGGTATGAGACCGGTATTTGGTGATATTTTGATTAACTTTGAAGTGGTATGGTATAGTGGTATGCGAAAGTGGTATGCGGAGTGTTGATTAGTGTAGCGGCTGTGGGTGTGGTCCCAGGAGGCGAAGCCATGCAAAAGTGCGGGTATTACCCGGGTATACCTGGGTTTTTGCAGGTATACCCCCGCAAAATACCGGGGTATTTTGCCGATTTCGCCGATTTTATTAGCTACAAAAATGCACTCGGACTCGCTTTGGTTTCCGTGAGGCAGGTGGTATCCCATACCACTTTTTGATTAGTGCAGGCCTAGGGTTTGATTAGCCAAAAACTCCCATACCGGTAAAGTTCGAGCACTGTGTGCGCGACAAGCAGCCCCAGCCGCCTCTCCCTCTCTTTCCCCTCTTCTAAACTCCCAGAACTATCAAGAAAACAAAAACGACCTCACCCCCAGCTATAAATAAGGAGGACGGAGCCAGCCCTCCCTGTTGTGGCATCGACTCTACACGCTATTTCGACAAGAGTGAAGAGTCCAGGACATGTCCATCAGATTCAGAACTTTCCTGGGGGGTGGGAGCCGCTAAACATAATTCATAATTCCCGCGACTGCCCCCGGGCGGTCGCCGCTGCCGCCCCCACAGGGCGGTTTCGGCAAGTTTCATTATGAGTCGCCAGTTCGACCTAGAGAGGGAGAGATTTTTAGAAGCCAACAAGAAATGTGTCACACACAGTGATTTGGGCTCTTCTCTCTCGACCTATGGATTCGACTCTCGCGTCTCGGGGCTTTTTCTATCGCCCGCCGTTCAAGTTTCGGGCGCTCATGCCTAAGTGTGAACGAGTTGCCTTCTAAGGTGGGTGGGGTTGCGCGAGCACATGCAGGCTCGCGCTGCGCTGCGGTATAAGGTGGGCCTGGCCTACCATGGCAATGCCGCTGAGACCGGTGAGTACTTGTACGACCCGAGCTACGCGCCGACGCTGGACATCGGACAAGTGGTCCACACGCTGAACAGAATGTTCATTCAATCTCAATGTCCCACCCGCACCCCCCTGGCCCTGCGCGCGGGCCTTCTAAGCCCGCGGGTAGTCTCCCCCCATCCCCAGCCAGGGCCTCCAGGGCTCCAACCTCTCATAGACCAGCGCAAAGCGCCATAGGACGTATTTTCTTGTCAATAACAAGGTCTGTGAACGGGACACGCCAATCAGAACTACATGTACCGGTTAAACTCTGAAAACTTGATTTCATCAAAAGCTGAACGGAGGTCAGGTTACGGCGGGCACGAGGTTGCAGCCCCAGCACGTTTGCCAGTTTTCGTCTACAGCCTGCAGCTCGATGCTCTTCCCGACGCAGTTGGCGTTGCTCTTAGCGCTCCCGCTCTGCGAGTGCTTCGGGGTGCCGCCACAGGCGACGGTAGTCGATGAAGTAATGTTCGACAATGTGTCCGACCTTTCTGCGGGCTCAGACGCCAGCCAGAGGACCCAACGTTCGGCAGGCACATACTACTATGTGCACTCCGGCCAATATTGCGCGCAACGTGGCTCGAAACGCCCATCGACCTGCGGATACCAGACAAATTCCGGAGGTTACTGCGCCAGACGGACTGGCAAAACGCGAAGACCTTGGGCGAGTTACAGGCGCTCGTCGCAATCAGAGTGCAAGCAGGCATGCGACGCAGCTGAGGATTGCAACGCGTTCGACTGGAGTCCACATCACGGCGATTGCGCGCTTATCGTCGGCGGCCACACGTGCACTGCAACAACACCCCATTCGGAGTGGAACTCCTATTGGCCAGCGCCGTGCTCGATCTCGCGTCAGGCATGCCAAGATGCGTGCAACTCGGCGGGTTTCTGCTCGGCCTTCGATTGGAGTCCCCACCACAACGATTGTTTTCTGATCAAACAGTGCAGCTCGACCACGGCGCACGGCGAGTGGAATTCGTATTGGAGTAATGTTCCGATTCGAGCCGCGTACACGAGCATTTATGAGGCTTGTGAGGAGGCTTACTTTAGTAACCTACCTTGGACCCACTGGTATGTCAAACGTGGCTGCAAAGCCTTTGTTGGAAAAGTGTATCCCGGAGTCGGGACTTCGGAGGGGCGGTATGAACTCGGAAGCGACTACGACGTCAGCAGTTGCATCGATCGTTGCAACATCGAGGTGTACCCCGACGATCCCCTCTACATTCAGAGGACCGGGTGCAGGCACGGATGCACAATCATGACTTGCTACAACTCCGACTGGTCCCCTTCAGGATTGCGGGTCGCAGGATCGCCATGCTGATGAAGTCGAAATGCTCAACGCAACTACTACCACGTATGCAATGACCCCACGGGCATTTGCTACGGACCGAGCCATTACGACTGCATTCAGTACTGATCGGATACGACCCAGGACCGGTGGCGAGCGGGGCTATCGACCCAGTGGCGAGCGGGGCTATCGGGAGGAGGCATGGGGGAGGAGGCAGCGCGGGCGGCGAGCGCACGCGCGGATGGGGATGAGGGCGGAGCCGAGTGCGGCATTGGTTGGGAGGGTCAGGTGGAGAGGGCGGGCGGGGCGGGGCGGGGCGGGGATGCGCGGGCGCTAGACAGGGGAGTGAGAGCTGCCTCGGGGAGCCAACACACCCACAGCACGTAGGGCATGGGTTGAGCTAGGGGTTGAGGTGGTGTCGCACAAGGCGGAGTTCGATGCTAGGTTCGATGCCCCCAGCAGCTGTAATGACTATTGCAATAATGTGTACGCAGACGCGATAATTCTAACGGCGCCATGGTATTCGGATTTTGCTATTTGTTCATGTGGGGGTATATGCCAGATTTGTCAATGGTACCGCGTCTCCGTCTGCGACGGGCGCCTTGCGTCCAGAGCCCGCACTTTTCGTTTTCCTCATGTGTTTCGGGTGTGCGCACAGGGATTCGGGTTTCATGGCCAGGCCGGGAGAGAAGCAGTGTCGTGTAAAGAGGAGGGAGGAGGTGGAAAGACGCGTGAGTAATTCCAAATGAAAATTTCTTTTCCTCGTGCTGAAGGAAGCTCGCATCGACCCGCACCGCGGGCAACACTGCGCCGCCCGCCGCCCGGGCGCGGCGAAAAGAAAGAAAGAAAACGGACAACCCAAGGGAGGGATGGGAGGACGGCACGCCGCCACCACACAGGGATTTTAAGGAGAGGGGTGTGGTGCACTAGCCGTCGCCCACCCTTGGGCGTCCGCCTCTTCCTATCTCTCTTCGCAGTCTCTCTCCGATTCTCGCTGCGACCTTCGTGCCACCTCGTGGTCGCCCCCTTCTCGTCGTGCTCTCCCTTGTCGCTTCTTCCTCTGTCGTGTCGCTCTCCTCTGTCGCGCGGCGAAGATCGCCGTCAAACCCCGTGCTTTCTTTTCGACAACAATGTAAGTGTGTACATGCTTGGTGGAGCAGCCCCCCGCTTGTCCGCCCGCCGCATCGGCGCCGTCGCTCTGCTCGCCGTCTGCTGCGCCTCCGCGGAGCCCGCGGCGGCACCCCGCTCGGTGCTCGTCGCGTGGCCGCCGGAGCCGGAGGTGCGGGCTGCGCTCCGCTACGTGATGACGGAGCTCCGCCGCCTGTCAAACCGCTTCCGCTACGCCTCGCTCACGACGTGCCACCGAGCCGAGGCTGCGGAGGTGGACGGCGAGCGGAGCCTCTTCCTCGACGTCGAGTTCGACATGCTGCGCGGGCAGCCCTCGAGGCACAACGTCATCCTCTTCAAGGACGGCGACGGCGCCGTGACCAGCATGGCGCTGGACGAGTTTCCGCACGTGGAGCTGCGGGAGCCGCCGGACCCGGACGTGTGAGACCCCAGATGCCCCTCCACCCGCGGCTGGCACGCCCTCTTCCCTCTCTCGCGCCAGCCTCTCGAGGCCTCGCTGTGTGCAAGCACCCTACTCGGGCGCGGCCCTCGATCGATGATGTCGAGCTCTTAGCTTGCCCGAGCTCCCGCTGATGTCGGCGAAGCGAGCCGTGTCGCACACTGTTGCCCATGAATCGGCATGGCGACGCGCGCTCCGTCTCCAGCTGGTGCAGTGACGGGCTGAGAGGTCTTGCGGGGTTGCGGCGCGCCGCTCGACGGTGCAGTGCGGCCTCACCACACACTGTCCGACCGTCCGTGTCCGCACGCGCACAGACGGACCTCGTTCGGGCATGCACACACGACTGTCACACTGCCTTGCCCAGCAACGTTTTTGCTTTCTCTCTTCTTCTGCGTTGCCGTTGGCCGGCAGCGCAGGGGGCCAGTTCTCTTTTTTTGAAATGTGACGGTGCATTCTTTCAATGACTAGAAGGCCTACCCCTTTTCCTCGCTTAAAGATATTGTGTTGTGCGGGGCCGCGGGGGCAGGCCGGAGGCCGCCGGCAGACGAGAGCCAGTCTAACGAGGCGGACACAAGCCAGTAGGCACAAGCGGCAAAGCAAGGGCATCCGAATCAGAAGACACGACAGGAGTGGCTTTGCGTCATGTCCGTCCTGTCATCGGCGAAGCTTGGGCAACGGCAATGTCGTGGGGATGGGCGGTGCTGCAACCGGCCTTGGAGCCCTCGTCTCATGTCGAGAGCTGATCGTCAGACACAGTGGAGGCTCCGCCGAGTTCAACGAGTTGGTCATCAATCAAGCGGCCCTTGATGCGCCCTGGCCCCCTCCATCTCATGTGCGCCATGCAAGCAGCGATCACTGCAACGCTCGCCAAAGCAATCCCAACAATCGGCAGCAGTGCCTGCGGCAAAGGTTCGCTTTCCAACGGGACGCCGTCGCCTGAGCCAGCCTCGCCAGAGCCTAGGTCGGCATCGCCGTGGAGATCAGGCATGTGGCTCTCGGCGGCGGCGGCAGGGAGGCGGCGGTATGAAGTAGCGAAGGCAAGGCGAAGGACCAGCAACAATCACGACGACTGGACACCGTGAAGCATCACGTCTTTTTTGGTTTGTTGTTTATTTTTTTCAATTCTTTCGGCCTCGCGAGCGTGACCGCCGTGACCTCGCCGCCTTCGACAAAGTGACTACTCGCGAGCTTCTCTACCAGGTATGGCGGACACTGATCTCCTCGAGCAGTCCGCAGGGGTCGTGCATGCGGCCCAGAGCGGCGACGAGGCGGCCGTGCGTGCGTGGGTCGCCGGCGGCGGCGACGTCAACGAGACGCTGGAAGTGTTTGGCGCCGAGTACCGTCTGCTGGCGTGTGCCGCGGAAGGCGGCCACGAAGACGTGGTTGACCTGTTGCTGCAGCTCGGCGCGGAGGTAAACTGGCAGTGCGGCGTCGGCGGCGCGTCAGCGCTGACGGCCGCAGCCGAATACGGCCGCCCCGCCGTCGTGCTGCGCCTGCTGCGGGCGGGCGCAGACATGGCGATGCGAAATGATTCTGGACAGACGGCGCTGCAGCTGGCGAAACGAAGCGGCAATGCCGCGTGCGTCGACGCCTTTCGGAGGTACCTCGAGGAGATGAGGGACCAACGCCAGGCAGCGGGCGGGGCGGGCGACGCTTCCTCGGCCGATGCGGCTGCGCCGTCGCCGCAGGGAGGCGGAGAGGGCCGCGCGGTGCTTCCTGGCGAGGCTGTGAAGGCGGCGCTTCGAGAAGGCAACGAGCCGGCACTGTTGGCGTGGCTCGGCGGCGGCGGGCGGGTCAACGCGACGTACGATGACGACGCCACGCTGCTGATGAACGCCGCCTCGTTCGGCCGCGATCACGTAGTCGAGTTGCTGCTGGGGGCCGGCGCGGAGATCGACCTTCAGGACAACAACGGCTGGACCGCGCTGATGTACGCCGCCCTCGACGGCCAATCCACCGTCGCATATAATCTCTGGAGGCACGGAGCGGACATCGACCTGCAAGACAGTGAGGGCTTGACCGCGCTGATGCACGCCGCCCGCGCGGGCCATCCCGCTGTCGTATCCCAACTGTTGCGGGCGGGCGCAGACATGACAGCACGCGATGAGTTTGGCACGACGGCGCTGGAGATGGCCAAGGAGAAGGGCCACGCCGAGTGCGTGCGCGCCCTCGAGGAGCATGCAGAGGCGGCGATGTCTGCACCCACCCGCCCAGTCTCGCCTGCGTTGGCGGTGGAGGAGGGCGGCGCGGTGCTTCCTCCCGAGGTTGTGTCGGCGGTTGCAGATGGCGAAGAGCCGGCGCTGTTGGAGTGGCTCGGCGGCGGCGGGCGGGTCAACGCGACGTACGAGGAGGGTGATGCGACCGGCCTCACGTTGCTGATGACAGCCGCCACCTACGGCCACGAGAGGCTGATTGACCTGTTGTTGCAGCGAGGCGCGGCGATCGACCATCAGACCAGCAACGGTTGGACCGCGCTGACGCATGCCGCCATCAACGGCGAGACCGCCGTCGTGCGCCGCTTGCTGCAGGCGGGGGCAGACGTGGCGGTGCGCTCCTCGAGCGTTGCGACGGCGGCGGGCGGCAAGACGGCGCTGGAATGGGCCGAGGAGAAGGGCCACGCCGAGTGCGTGCGTACTTTCGAGGAGCATGCGGCGGCGGAGGCGGCGGCGAGAGAGGCGGCGAGGGCTGCAGAGGCGGCAGCGAGTGAGGCGGCGAGGGTGAAGGCTGAGTTTTATGCGGTCCGGCAAGCGCTTATAGCGGGCGACGAGCCGGCGCTGTTGGCGTGGCTCGAAGCCGGCGGTCAGGTCAACGCGATGCCGAGTCAACGTGACCTCACTTTGCTGATGAACGCCGCCCACCTAGGCCAAGAGCGGGTGGTCGAGTTGCTGCTGCAGCACGGCGCGGAGACTGACATGGAGAGCAGCAAAGGCGTCACCGCGCTGATGCTCGCCACCGCCTGCGGCCACGCGCGGGTTGTCGAGCTGTTGCTGCAGCGCGGCGCGCAGGTCGACATGCAGAACAGCAGCGGCAACACCGCGCTGAAGTCCGCTGCCCAGGAAGGCCACGAGCGGGTGGTTGAGATGTTGCTGCGGCACAGCGCGGAGGTCAACTTGCAGGACAGCGACGGCGCCACCGCGTTGATGGGCGCCGCCCAGCATGGCCACGAGCGGGTGGTCGACTTGCTGATTCGGCACGGCGCGGAGGTCAACCTGCAGAGGAGCGAAGGCTGGACCGCGCTGATGTTCGCCGCCCACGAAGGGTGCCCCGCTGTCGTGCGCCGTTTGCTGCGGGCGGGCGCAGACACGTTGCTGCGCTCCCAGGACAACTCTACCGCACTCGGCATTGCCTCGAACGCCAGGAAAGCTATCCCGAACCACAACGGCTATTCCGAGTGCGTGCGCGCCCTCGAGGACGCGGCGGAGGCGGAGGCGGTGCGGCGCGGCGACGCGTTGCTGGCCGAGATCGAGGCGGAGGAGGAGGCGGAGAAGCGCGCCAAGGTCAAGAAGGGCAAGAAGAAGAAGAAGGGCAAGGGCGGAGGGAGTGGCGCCGCGGGGCCGTCGCAGGAGCCAGAGGCGGGAGCGGAGACCGCGGCGGAGGCAGCGGCGGAGGCAGCGGCGGGGGCGGCGGTGGAGGCATCCGAAGCGGCGGCTGCGTCGGCGGCGGCGGAGGAGGTGCAGCTGGCTGCGGCGCTCGAGGAGAGTACGATGCTGGAGGACGAGGCGAGGCGAGGGGCCGACGAGGCGTCGGGTTCCGCGCCACAGGGCGCACCTCAGCCCCCCGAGCCGGCCGCAGAGAGCGAGGTGCCCCCCGAGCTTTTGTGCCCACTCTCCTTCGACGTCATGACGGACCCGGTGATCTGCGCCTCGGGCCAAACCTACGAGCGGTCTGCCATCGAGAAGTGGTTCGCGATGGGCAAGCGCACCGACCCGATGAGCGGTTCGGTGCTCGAATCCACGTTCCTGGTGCCAAACGTAGCGCTACGCAGCATGTGTCGCAGGTACGAGCAGAAGGATTCATAGCCAAGGGGGGTGAGGGGGAGCGCCGAGCGCGCACTTACGAGAGCAAGGATTGTGGGGGGGCGACGGAGCCACGATTCAGCTGTGTATCTACGCACAACCAGCGGAGCCCATCTAGATCTACCTTGTCTTAGTTATATCTGTTATAGATAGTATACGCGTAGCCGTAGTACATAAGAAAACACGCATCTCACGGGACTACCGCTCGCAAAGCACGCGTCTAACACAGAGCTCCCTGCCCGGAGACGCACACAAAGCGCATACAATACACTCACAAAGCCGCCCCCCCATTGCGCAGACTCGCAAGGCCCGAGACGCAAGCACAACCCGCGCCTCACTCCTCACGGCCGCACACTGGAGAGGCAACCCCCAGCCCCGCCCCCTGAGCCTCGCACACTCCCCACACTCAGCTTACCCCCGGGCTTCACCTTTTTTCCAGTCCTCCCTCTCTGCTCTCCGGCAACCTCGCGCCGGCCCGCGAGCACACCTCCGCCCGTAGCTCGGGCAGGACGTGGCGGTCGAGCGAGCAAGCGGGCGCCCATTCAGAGGGTCTCTCGAGGTTCACCCTCGCCTCTCTCGCCTCTCGGGGGCGCACACCCCCCGGAACCAAACCGTCTCTCATGTCGAGCCTCATGGCGTCAGCAGCTCGAGGCCGACCTCGCGTTGGGTGGCCGTCGGCGGAGCGCCTACCAGCCGCCGAATCGCTGCGCGACGCCGGCCTCGGCCGGCGCGGCAGGCGCCGCCTGCTGCACATTGAGCGCCGCTGCCGCCAGCTGCGCGTAGGACGCCGCCACCGCGAGGCGCGCCGCCTGAGACGGCGGCGGCCACTGCGGCAGCGGCGGCAGCGGCGCTGCCTCGCCCTTCTTCTCCCGCGCCGCCGCCAGAGCAGCGGTCGGCCCCTTCGCCGCCGCCGCCGCTGGCTGCTTCGCCTCCGACTCCGGCTCCCCGCCCGAGAGCATCTCCGCCGACGGGCCCTCCTTCTCCCGGCGCACCTTCGCCGCCTTGGCGCCCTTCTTTGGCGCCGCGCGCGCGCGCTTGCGCTTGCGGGAGGGGGGCGGCGGCGCAGCTTCCGGCGCGGCGCTCACTGCCACGCCGGAAGCCTCCTCCGCGCCGGTCAGCCGCCACCTGCGGCCGTGTGTGCGCACCAGCGCCAGGATCTTCTCGTCTTCCTCCTTGCTCCACGGCTCACGCGCTGCCTATTGATCAATCCATTGATCTCTTGAACCATCCCTTTGATAGGCCGCAGGGGTGGAGCAAGCGCTGCCGCCTGCTCCGCCTCCCACGCCTCGAAACCCGCCAGCTTGAGGATCACGCGCGGGGCCTCTTCGCCGCCGCTCCCCTCCTCCTCCTCCTCCACCTCCTCCTCCTCCTTGCTCCGCTCGAAGCGCTCCTGGTGCCGCTTGAGTGCCCACGGGTCGTCGCGCGAGCGCTTGTCTGCGCGGTGCGGGCGAGGAGTGGGTGGGGGCAAGAGGTGGGGACTCCTCGCCCCGCAGCGACTCACTTTGAAACCAGGTCGACACTCGCCGGGGAGTCGTCTGCAGCTGCTCCGCCAGCGAGGCGCGAGTAGGCGCGGACGGGTACGGCTCGCGGCTGTAGACGGACTCGAGGAGCAGCGATCCGCCGGGAGGGACCTTCCACCGCAGCTCTGAGCTCGCCGACGAGCTCGCCGACCGTCTCGGTGCCTCCTCCTCGTTGTCGATCCCCTCCTCCTCCTCCTCCTCCGCCACCTCCACCTCCTCCTCCTCCTCCTGCTTCTTCTTCGCCCGCTTGGCGAGCCGCAACAGCTCCTTCGGCCCCGGCTTGCCTCGCGCAACCGCTGGTGCCGCCGGCGGGGCGGCGGCGTCGGTTCGCGGCAGCGGCGTTGGCTGCGGCAGCCGAGTTGTCGCGCTCCAGCCTGCCGCCGCACCCTCGCCGCCAGAGCCGCCGCCGCCGCGCCCCTTGAGCTGCTGCACCCCCTTGCGGAGGATCTTGTCCTCCTGCGGGGTAGGGTATAGGGCATTCTTTCATTCATCAAGTGGTTACTG